CGTGTATGATGTATTTGGGACGGCAGATCTGGACAGGAAGTAAGTCGACGGGAGATCCGTACTTGACTGAAGGAAACAAGTCAGCCTTCCATTTTCTCGTCTACAGGTATTACATTTGTGCATTTATATGTAGCCGTTTCAAATGAACGTGGCGAAATTGTGGGTGTTGTGATCCTACAGCACTCTGGCGCTGTGGCTTTTGTGAGTGTTGGAGTTGGTTATCGATGGTGGTTTTTTGTTTCAGATGGGCCTCTTTTGAGAGTAATGAGAGGGAGGTTACACCACAGTTACTGGAAGCTAGTGGAAGTGCCTCGGGAGAGCTGATTGAGGGTGGTGGTGACAGCACTGTCGGTGGAAGTGCCTCGGTGTTGGAGCAACAACCTGGACGCAGGTAGGATGTAGCCATAGAATGGCAGTAATTTGTTGTTTGCTGTTAAAGTTGACATGCTGTTGACCATTTCGGGTATCGTAAGATGAAGGTTGATAGTTTTGAATCTGGGTTAACGTAAATAGCCTCACATGAAACAGCAATGCATGAGGGTCGAGTTTGATTATACTTTGGCAAGTTGGAAGGAGTTTTGATGTATCATGAATGGATGGATGGATGTTTTTGTGGTTTATCGAAAATTCGGCAGCCCAGAGACTGGATACTCGCTAGAACGAAAATGTGCCTAGTTGGTATGTGAGCGCGGTAAAACAGCTGCTTGTGTTCATTGGTTAGTCAACCAATGAACAGTGGGACCTACAGCAATCGGTGTGTCATTTATCGGGCAAATATGTACTCACTGTTTAACGATCTATCGTGCAGGTCGTTGCGCGTATGTCATCGTTGGAACCAAAAATGTTAGGCTTGGTTATTTAACTCGCGAAGCAGTCGAGATCTCGATTTTAGTAAATTGAAATGTTGCATTTTGCTAAGGCCTTTTGAGGCCCATTGGGAGGTTAAGGTGGTTGGCGTTATTCTGAATTGGTTTAGATGTGAGTATTTGCCGTGGAATGTGT